TAATCACAGCTGACACTCTCATCAGAGAAAAACATTCACCCACACCAGCACATCAACACAACCCCAAAAAGAAAAAAAAACAGACCCATTACGTGAAGCCGAAGCGGAACAGTCTCAGTCCATCTCCCCGCAGGGTGCAGTCACTCAAGCAAGCCACACAACACACACCACAAGGGAGGAAATATGTTCGTGGCAGTGCCGTGAGTGACAACACCGGGGGGGAAGGTGAGAACAAAAAAATGTGTTTTCATTACGTGGGCGGTGTGAGCAGTAACCCCAACACACAGAAAAAGACTCAAACACCTACAACCCATCATCAATCTTTATACCAAAATAAAAATGTAAAAAAAGAGTGACTGACTGAAGCAGACAACAATAGAGCAAAGATGCAAAAGAAAAAGAAATCCATCACTTACTGTGACTGCGATGCCTGGACACAGTCCAATCCACCCCAAGGTTAACAACGGAAAATCATTGTGTACTGGACGTGCTGTGCCCATATCTTTATTCTTGATGTCCCTGCAGCAGTTTGTATATAATGAAAAAAAAAAGAATCATTCCATAAAAATGAACACACAAGATACACAAGGTGTATCAGAAACGCAAAAGAGAAACACACAGCTGCACATAATGTGCAATGAAATTATAATGAAAAACACACACAAGGGAAAAACAAAATAATAAAAACAAACAAAAAAAGAAAAAAGCCGTGATCACCATGTGAACATGTTCAGGAGGCAAGCAACACAATTCACCGCACCAGGTGTGTGTGTGTGTCTTTCGTACAGGGCGAGCAGTGGGAATGATGCACACATGATGACAGTCCACACATACACACACACAAAGAGAAGGAAGGTTGGTAGTGTGTGTGTTTGTGTGTCTTGAACCCCCTGCCATTCTTCACATTTCAGTCACAGCAATTAAAACACATCGGGATTGTATACCATTTCCATGGGTAAAAGCAATAGTTAGTAATATCACGGAACAAACACACACACATCACTAGGGGGACACAGTAAATGGCGGCAAAGCAGAACCAAGATAATAATGCCAACAAACAAAGAGGACACTCCCCTCACAAAATGATGGTTTGTCATGTGATATGAGTGTCATAGGGAGTCCAATAGATTTGTTCAGTAAAAAATGCAAACAAGAGACCTATCGTGCTGGAAGAAAAAAAAAAAAGTGATATCCAACCAAAAAGAACAGTGCCCTTACAATGCATCCATGTCTACTCAAACAAAGGTAAACTGTGCATCAGTGTCATGGGAACACCAATTAGTACACGAGAGTGCAACCCAAAACACACAACAAAACCAGCAGTAAATGACTGTGCACCAAACCGGGACCGTTGCTGTTGTCCCCACCCTTTGTGGCCTTCTTTGGCTCTTTTCCCTTCTCCCTTTGCGCCTCCTCAGCAACTTTTCTTTCCCTTTCTTCTCTCTCTTTTTGGACCCGTTCCTTCTCCCTTTGCGCCTCCTCAGCTGCTTTTCTTTCCCTATCTTCTCTTTCCTTTTGGACCCGTTCCTTCTCCCTTTGCGCTTCCTCAGCTGCTTTTCTTTCCCTATCTTCTCTTTCCTTTTGGACCCGTTCCTTCTCCCTTTGCGCTTCCTCAGCTGCTTTTCTTTCCCTATCTTCTCTTTCCTTTTGGACCCGTTCCTTCTCCCTTTGCGCTTCCTCAGCTGCTCTTCTCGCCCGTTCTTCTTTCTCCCTTTGGGCCCTTAATATCTCCTGTGCCACTTCCTGGGCGACCTTCACCCTCTCTTTCCTCAGCGTCACATTAAATTCACTGGTCGTCAACAGTGTATTCTTTTCTGGTTCCTTGATGTTCTGTGCACCTTCCACTGTATTTTTGACTTCATGTAGTGTCGAATTTACTTTTTTGGCATTTCCTGTCTCCCCCGCTTTCTTCGCCTCCTCTTCGACTACAACCTCAAGCTCGTTGAACTTTGCCGCCGTCCCCTTGATTGAGTCCTTCGCCTTGACGATCTGTATGAGGGCATTTACCCTAGAAACTTGTGCCTCTCCCCGAAACAATTCGAATTCCTTAATGAACTTTTCTACCAACTTCTGCGTTTCGGTGCTGTTTTCAAGGAGCTTTCCTTCTTTCTTCCACTTCACTTCTTCTGTCGTATCAAACACCTCCTCATACCTGAAGTGGGCTTTTTCAAGTTCTTTCAGGATATCAACCGCATTTCCATGTTCGGTTTTGCATAAGTCACCCACTTTTTTGATGCTGGGGATCTTCTTTTCAGTCTCCTTAATCATCTCTTCAATATTGCTTGTTGTTTTTTTGACCTCATCCAGCAGATTACTGACGGAATCCCATTCGGCGAAAGTTCCTGGTGACTTACTCATCTTGTCTTTCATCAACCCAATTTTCACGGCGATTCCATCTGTGACTTCTGCAGCAGATCGCGCGCGTGCGTAACTTTCGTTGGATGCCCTTACCGTATCCCTCCAAACATTTAGACAACTCCTTCCCTCCACATAACGTGCATGTGCCATGCCACTCACATTGCGTAATCGCACAACCTTATCATTGTACTTCCTTTCTTTTTCCTCTGGAGTTTCCGTGTGCTCGGGTGCCTCCTCCCCATTATCCTCATTGGTGGCAGAGGCCATACATGCATAACACTGAAGAAGTACCAACAGGTACACCACACGTCGCAGTTGGATGAACATCGTTGTCATGATTGTCACTGTGGGTTGCTTGGGCTTGTGGTAACAAGGAAAAAAAAAGAGGAAAAAAATAAAAGTAGACGCACATTTAACACACAATGCCGTGGGTACACAGCTCCACAGAGAAAGAGAGAGAGAGAATACACACCACAACAGCAACCAAACACAACCCAATGAGGGGAAACAACAATAAAACACTCACACAATAAAACACACCCAGAGTTACACAGATATTGAAACAACACCTTGAATTTAGAAGAAGTGGAAAACAAATGGTATCAAAACAATATTGAATAAACGTCTCTACACACACTCCAATATCTTACTCGGTATTCATACACATAAAGTGTGTCTGTATTCTCATTATAATAAAATCATTACCAGGCAGTTCGAACACCAAAATACACCAAAAACACAGTGTGTACGCCTGGCAACAAACAAAAACAATACCACAAATCATCAGCAAAACAAAGAGAGTGTACAATAATCAACACAAATGCAAACAGAAAAAAAAGAAACCAATGCATCACCATAATATTTATACCAACACCACAATTGGAATCTAAAACCCACTCACTCACAACCATAAACAAAAATGACTGCATACATCACTGTAATACCATGCCACTCTTTACAATCAGAATCAACATACAATTACTCTCTCTCACACATATTACCTCTTTATTTATCCTTATTACTATTATTTTATTTTTCCCTCAGAATGCCGGTTCGCCTCTTCACTCTTCCACAGCATTATCAGCCAAAAAACAAATCACCCACCCAAATACGTACGTCCTTTACTCCATGGTGTGTATTAGGAGGGTACGATTAAACATATCCCCTACCCAAAAAGGACCCCACACCACACCACCACGTTTTTTTTTTTTTTTTCGTGGCTTTATGAATGTTACTCCAATGGTACGGCTATCAACCGTACACCGTAGAGCAATTTAATTACTGACTTAAGAGTGGCTCTGAAGAGGAAGGTCCCTTCATTTTATAGGATCTTCAAGCTCTTGTAATATGATTTTTCGTTGCAGCCCTTTTCCCATACGAGAGAACCAGTCTACGAGAAATCTGATCGAGTAAACCCAACCAGATTTCTCTACTCTCACTGTTCTTACCCAAAACCCGTCCTCAAGTCTCCTTTTGGTATTAATTTTTGTTATTTTTGGGTTTTTTATAATAGATTGGCCTCAATGAACTCCTATTTATTGTGTTGCTTGTTGGGTCGGCGACAGACGTCTTGAGCTTACTCTTCTATCAAGGTTTCCATATTCGAGCTCGTCACTGATTTTAGAGAGGTGGGGAGGCCTTGCAGAGGGGGAGGTGGGCTGTGTAGGGTTTCTCTTGGTTGTGAAGTCTATGGCATAGTGTAGTTCCGCTCCACCGCAATAAGGAACTGTGCTAACCGCTTAGAAAAACATAGTTTCATCAGGGGTACATCAACGATCGCAAATTGAACTCGCAGTGGATGAAGAGCGGGGCAACTCAAAAGATGCAGAGCTGTTTCTTCGCATTGGTCGCGTTGGCTGGTGTGCGCGCGAGTCGGTTTGTACCCGTGTTGTGACATACGGTGTAGAGTTAGGCCTGATTTACTCATACATTGGTGACCGCATGTGGGACAGACTAACGCCGGAAGGTCTCGTGTTTTCGTTGTTTTGTATTGCCCATTGGTGGAATTCGATTTTTTTGGGCAGACCCTCTCCTTCATGGAATTTTATGCAGTGTGTGACGAGGGAGTCTAGGTGGGCGTAGAACTTCTGGCAGACTCCGCATTGGACTTTTTCTCTGTTCTCACGCTCCGGTGGCGACGTATTTCGCTGACGTTTCTTATTGCGTGGAAACGTTACTTTTATTGTTGCTGGCAGAATTAGAATTCCAGGAGGATGTTTGAACTTTTTATGGCATGCGA